CAACACTATCAATATGATTTAATGGATGATATCGGCATCTTTCCAAGAGCAAATGACGATGAAGATCTTGTAGTAAAACGCATGACTGATGATGATTTTCGGAAACTTGTTCGTTCACTTAATGTAAAGCAAATGGAATTCTTCTATCATGTGTTGAAATCCATCAAAACTAGTGATGAAGCACTTAGACTTTTTTTAAGTGGTGGGGCTGGTGTTGGCAAAACTACAGTTACTAATGCTTTATATGAAGCTTTGATCAGGTACTTAAATAGTGTTCCAGGTGAAAACCCTGATGACGTTAAAGTACTTAAAGTGGCACCAACAGGAAAAGCAGCATTTAATATCAGTGGTAACACTCTTCACTCTGCTTTTAAAATACCTGCTAATCGAGGTTTTGAGTATTGTACACTTGACAGAGACAGACTTAACACTATTAGAGCACAGCTGAGAAAACTTCAGGTTATTTTCATAGATGAGATTAGTATGGTAGGCAGTGGCATGTTCACGTTCTTGAATTTACGCTTACAGCAGATCATGGGTACACCAAAACCATTTGGAGGAGTTAATTTGATCACTGTTGGTGACCTGTTTCAGTTAAAGCCAGTTTTTGACAAGTGGATTTTTGAGAATTCAGGAAGTGCCTACAGTGCATTAGCCACAAATATTTGGCAAGAACATTTTAAGATGTATGAATTGTCAGAAATTATGAGACAGAAAGATGACAAAGAATTTGCAGAGCTTTTAAATCGCCTTAGAGAAGGAAAACACACAGAGCAAGGTATTGAGGTCCTAAAAGGAAGGATTTTAAAAGTAAAGCCAGGAGAAAGTGATTATCCCATGAACATCACTCACTTGTTTAGTACTAACCAAGCAGTAGACAGTCACAATGTTAAAATATTTAATAACTCCAAAAACCAAAAAGTTAATATTTGCGCAGTTGACATTGTAATTGGAGATCTGTCCGATGAACTAAAGGAAAGACTGAAACAAAAAATCCCAAATGATCCAACCAAAACCATGGGATTATTTTCTGTTTGTTCTGTCCATGTTACAGCAAAGTATGACCTAACAACAAATGTGTCTGTCCTTGATGGTATGACTAATGGAGCAGAATGTACAGTTGAAAAAATTGATTACAGAGTACCGGACTCTACTAGACCAAGTATTATATGGGTAATGTTTCAGGATCCTAAGATCGGTCATCACTGGCGAAGAGAATATTCTCATTTGTATAATGTACAAATACAAAGCACCTGGACACCAATCTTAGAAATCACAAGGCAATTTAGATTGTACAAAAGAAATCAAGTTCAAGTTCTTCGTAGACAATTCCCTTTACGACCAGCTGCGGCCAAAACAATACATCGTTGTCAAGGTGACACGCTTAATGAAGCAGTTGTTGATTTACCAGCTTCAACGAGAGAACATATGCATTATGTTGGTCTAAGCAGACTTCGGAATCTTTCAAGTTTGCATATCTTAAACTTAAATGAGAAAAAGATAACTGTGAGCAAGAAAGTTGCATCTGAAATGTCTAGATTAAGATCAGAGGCATCTTTAAAACCATGCATTTCCTTTCTTTATGAAGCACCAAGTAACAAAAGCAACTTCAAAATTTTGTTCCTAAATGTGAGATCTTTACATCTCCATATTGAAGATGTAGCGTGTGATTATAGTGTACAAGCAGCACATGTGAATGTATTCGTTGAGACAGCTTTATGTTCAAGGGACAGTGATGAGGCATATGACATGGCCAACTTTCGCCTCTACAGAAATGACTATGATCCACAGAACAATACTAGAACACCGTATGGATCAGCTGTGTATATCAGAAATGATGTAGAGTGCACCTGTGACCCCTTTAGATTAAACTACAACAATACAGAAATGACTGTTGTTATTATCAATTTACCTGGTTGTAACAAGATACATGTTGTTGGGATATATCGATCTAAATCAAAAGTTGTATTTCCTAAATTAATTGAAGCGTTAGAACATTTACATCGCACTATTCTTCGAGAACCACAGACTCCAGTCATAATTTTAGGAGACTTTAATGTCAATTTTATGGAACCTACCTCTGAGCAGAAAGCTCTTGTGGGATATATGATCAAGCAAAAGGGTTACACTCAGCTGATAAAACAGTACACAACAGATTATAAAACTCAGATAGACCACATATACACTAATATTCCACAACAAGTTCAAAGTTCTGGTACATTGGAGTCATATTATAGTGATCATAAGCCCATTTTTGTTTGTCTAAATGTAAGCAGCTAGAGCACATTGTTTTCTATTGCTAGTTATTTTGTCAGGATATGTAGGAATGATTTTATTGTTGGCTAAATCTTTTTGTTTTGTTGACTTTGCTTGAGCACAAGTTTCTTATTTTCATATTTGGGTTTGCTTTTTAATAGCATTAACCATATGTATACCGATGTAGTTTACAGATATACAAAGATTAAGTAAAAATTATAGAGGAGAAAAATATACGATGAACCAAATAAAATGTGTTGTTTCTCGGTGGAAACATGACCTCACTTCTAAGAGTGAGGTCATTGTGTGCTGTGGTGAGGAAGTGACTCCTCACTACCTGTAGTCAAGATGCAGGCCATCAGAGTTGAAATGTAAGTTAGTCATGTATTTTGAGGGCTTGGGAATTTATTTGAACTTGATTTAAGTTAGTATTAGAGCAGCAAAGTATATTTTACCAATGTTAACTGCTCACTGATTGTTTTTGTTACACATTATTTTGCAGACTGCTGTTTGAGTACAATATGCCTAAATGTTCATGATTCTGAATGGTAATACATTACCAAGACACTGAAAGCACTGAAACTACAACTCTTCATTGTATCACCTCATTCAAGACACTACAAAGAACAGTAATGTGCATTTAAGTTTGTACATGATTGCATTTTCTATACATGCATGCTCCATACAACATGCTATGGTATGCACAAGCTCAACCAATAATGGATGTTACTCTAAATATGCTGCTAAAGACACCTTCCAGAAATCACTCTGCATGGTCTACATTTCTATTGTTAAAGAGGAGTGAGGAACGATTAGGGATGTCACTCTGTATGGTCTACATTTCTATTACTAAAGAATTCGAGAAAAAATTATGGATGTCACTTTAATACGCTGTTTAAGTCATCTGGAAAAGATCTATGTAAATCAGAAACAACTTGCCATCATCATCTGCTTTCTCTCAAAGCAAGAACGACCACAAATGGTACTCTGAATATATATGCCCATCTACGAGTATGGAAAGTCACTTGGGTGGTCTTCTTAACGCAGTAAAAAGACACCAAAGAGGTTACTCAAAAGCAATGCCAAAGTATATATACACTGCTAAAGCTGTACATCTCGTACACAATTCAAGATAACCAAGTTACTGTCATATATGTAGCTAAAATAAATAAATAACCTTTATTTACCGTCGGTGTGTTTAAAAAGAATAAATTCAATGTCAGGAACAAATGAATCAAATCAAACAACAAGGTTAAAAACCCCAACTGGAGGAAGGCAAACCAGTTAACTATTTACAAGCTTGGCCAAGGTGTTGAACTTGGGTCTGCCTGAGCTAATCAGCCATGCTGATTTATTTGAGATAATTATTTGTTGTGGGCTGTACAGTCCAAGAACTGTTGCTGGACATAATGGTTTATGTGTCATTTGTAAACAACAAGGCATAGCATTTGTAGTATTGCAATCGGCAGAAATTGCCAATAATGGGGCCTGCTAGGAACACTGGGATGCTGAGATG